CAACATAATGAAGATGTTTAACAGATTCAGGAATAACAAGCTTAGTTTATACGGTTACAATTTGTTTGGATTTAATTCCGGGGGGGGGGGGCTGCTGAAGGAAATAAATATGTCAAAATTGGAGATTGATGGGCAGATGTATCCTTAACTGCGGGATGCTGAGAGTAATTTTCTGAGGCCCTGCCTTTAAGGTGCTCTCAGCCTCACCTACCCCACAGCTCTTGTGAGGAAATCACAGAACAGGAGAAGTTTTGCAGCCACCATTAGGGTAAGGATAAGGTTGAGGCAAATACATAAATCCCCTCCTCCCGTGGCTGCTCACTGCTCATGCAACTCAGCCAAGCCAAAGAACTTCTGAAATTTGGCCAGTCGTTGGAATGACAGTTGCAGCAATAATCAGCTTAACTGTCCATTTCCTCCTCTGTCATCTGATTGTCCTTCCCCGCCAATCACAGAACAGGAAACGTTTTGCAGCGACCATTAGGGTGAGGATAAGGTTGAGGCAAATAAATAAATCCCCTCCTCCCATGGCTGCTCACTACTCATGCAACTCAGCCAAGCCAAAGAACTTCTGAAATTTGGCCAGTCGTTGGAATGACAGTTGCAGCAATAATCAGCTTAACTGTCCATTTCCTCCTCTGTCATCTGATTGTCCTTCCCCGCCAAATCCCTTCATCCTGATGCTCCTGAAAGGACTCTGCAGCATAAGAACGATAGAAGGCCCTGACCTGGACAGCCCAATCTCGTCAGATCTCGCAAGCTAAGCAGGGTCGACTCTGGCAAGTGCTTGGATGGGAGACCTCCTTGGAATACCAGCAACTGGGAGGCGGGGGCAAGCTGCCTGCATTCACTTCCCAAAATCAAAGCATTGGGCTGCAAGGCAGGTATGGATCTATAGCTCTGATGGATGGATATCAAGCAAGCAAACAAGCACCAAAACTGGAAGACTGGTATCAAATCTTGTGGTGTGCCTTGGATGGGCCTTTTCGATCTGTAATTATCTGTGAGAGATGCTGAGAAAAGCAGCTGCCCAAGCACAGGTCCTGGTGAAGTTTGTCACAGTATTGGCAAGAAACACCCCTTAAGGGTGTCGAAGGTCCCCAGGGCCAGCCAGGGCCCCAGATCTTTTTTTAAGGGCTGCAGGACACAAAACTACAAAACCTGGGGGTGGGACTCCTCACACACCAGCTTGGTAGCTGCCCCAGCCCCTTAAACTATCCCAACGATTAGAAGCCAAAGGGCAAGCTTCCAACCCATCAAATCTGGTGTGTGCAACATGACGGCAAGAGGCCTTGGATGGGCCTTTTCTTCTTTTTTTTAACGGTTTATTTAATATTTATATCATACATTATATCTTACGTATCTAATAAAATACATTTATCCTTGCGAGTCATTTTTTTATTGCCACTAAGCAAACATAAAACTTCTTCCATCTTTGTTCAAATATTTCGTATTCTTTTCCCTGTAGCAATACATTTAATCTATCCATCTCGGCTATTGTCAACAACTTGTCTATCAGTTCTTCCTTAGGAGGAATTTTTTCTCCTTTCCAGTATTTTGCTAATATAATTCTTGCTGCTGTAAAAGTATATGTTATTAGGTCACTACTGTAATTACTAGGGATCATATTTAGCAAGGCTACCTCTGGTTTCACTGGTATGACTATTCCTGTGATCTCTTTTAACATTTCATATACTGTATTCCAGTACTTTTGAACTTTTCCACATCTCCACCAAACATGAATAAAGGTGCCTACATTGCATTTACATTTCCAGCAATTTTTGTTGACTTTCCCATAACACTTTGCTATCCTATCTGTGAGAGATGCTGAGAAAAGCAGCTGCCCAAGCACAGGTCCTGGTGAAGTTTGTCACAGTATTGGCAAGAAACACCCCTTAAGGGTGTCGAAGGTCCCCAGGGCCAGCCAGGGCCCCAGATCTTTTTTTAAGGGCTGCAGGACACAAAACTACAAAACCTGGGGGTGGGACTCCTCACACCAGCTTGGTAGCTGCCACCAGCCCCTTAAACTATCCCAACGATTAGAAGCCAAAGGGCAAGCTTCCAACCGTTCTGGGACTAGACAAGAAAGTCTACCTTGCAAGGTGGGCTTGCAGAATGAGTTTCTCACAAAACTAATTACTCTGGTAGGTAATCCACCCAGTCTAAAGCTCTGGATTTAGACTGGGGTCAGTTGAAGGCAAATATCCACAAAAGTAAAATTCATCTACTTATTAGGGTGCAAGAATATTTGGGTGCAAGAACTATGAGGCAAAGCAAGAAAGCTAGACATTTAAGAACTAACTTAGCCAGTAATACATTGGTTCCAGTTATCAGAGGTTACCCATTCTCAGCTGAAGGTTCTCAGTAGTCCAAAGAGTCAGCAGAGCTGTTTGGCCTGCCACAAGCAAGGGTTCCAGATGGCTGCAGGGGGCAAGATAGTGACTGCATGTTGAGATCTTAGGTAGCCACCATCAGGCCAACAATAAAGACTTACTACTTTACGGCCAAGGGTCCACGTGGTCTCAGGCCTGGAAGACCAATAGGATCCCTGGGGGGTGATGTAAAGATGAACAATGCTGCCAAATTAAGCAGTAAAAAGGGAATGTGTTAACACCTTAAAAAATAGTTCCCTGGCCAGGGTGTCTCTTGTGCCCTTGGGCCCAGAAAGGACAATACAAGGATGGGGGCAACGATTGGCGTTCACAGGGCTAAGGAGGGTTGCAAACACCCAGGTGCTTGAGAATCCAGTGCTGGAAGAGTTGGACTGGAAAAAAAGGGGGTTCTGCTGTTGAAACAGCCAAGACAGACCAAGGGCACAAGAGACACCTTGGCCAGGGAACTATTTTTTAAGGCGTTAACACATTCCCTTTTTACTGCTTAATCTGACAGCGTTGTTCATCTACTCTTTGTACTGCGGAAGACCACATTGTCACCAGTGCCTGTCTTTTTGTACCTGGAGACCAAACATTGTGGGTGGGTGTGGTCTTTGCACCTTATGGAAGTACACAAATGCAGCTCCAGTAATCCATGTAGCAAAAGCCACTGGCAGGCAGCCCCGTTGTTTTGTCCACGGGAAGGTCTAAAAATGCAGGAAAGCAGCATGCAAGTGGTGTGGGGTGTGTGTGTGAGAAACAGTGTCCACGTACGCCATCGCTTTCCTTCTTGCTGCTGCTGCTGTGGCCCCTCCCCCACGCCCGCCCCCCTTTCCCTCTGTGGTGTCTGCCCAAAAGTACAGTTGCGGCAGAGGCTGATCCCCAGCCACAGGTGGTGGGAGTGCTGGCCACTGGCCAGATGCCAGCCAGCAATACAACAGCTGGCCAGAAGAGGCTCTTCTTCAGTGTTCGGACCAGAGAGGCAGCTGTTACACAGCTGAGAATTTTCCCCTCCCCACAGGGGGAGATAAAATGTGCCCTCCCGTCCCCTTCCTTCCCAAGAGCACCATGAAGGCGGCATCTCTACTCATTCCAGCCCAAGTCTTAGGTACCTGTTCCCGCTCGCCTTCTGTGTTCTGAAACAAAAGCACCCGTACCAGCCAGACTTTGCTAGACTTAAAATCAAAATTTATTATTATTTTTTTTAAGAGGGAAGGGAAAATGGACTTTACAAGAGGTTGCTTCTGATGGTAACTAGGAAGGCAGATAAATAAAAGCAAGTTACAAAAATCTGATGGGGTTTTGTTTTGAAAATTACAAGAGGGGTGGAAACACCTTAAAATTTTACAGTCAATAACCAAGTTGAACTTTTTACATACTTACAAATTAACATATAGCACTTTAGATATTTTTTTTTAAAAAAAACCCTCTCCATTGTTGGACAGTTTTTATATATAGATTTTTGTCCAGGAATATGCAACAGGTACCTCTGTACAAGCCACAAAACAACAACCATCACAACAGGAACACAGAATGTTCCTTCAACACCTATTAATTACACTAGACTTTTCAGACTGAGACTGAATGCAAACATTGGCGCCCTCACTGCTGAATTTTAATCATAAGTTAACCAAAGCTGGTCAATTATTTCTGTGTCGGCCTCCAGGAGAACACAGAAAAGAGAGTCTGTCATAGGGAGCTTGTAACGCTTATAGGTTGTTTTTAAAGGCCTGCGGATCCAGAAAGGGAGAACTGGAGTTTTTTGGAGCTGAGAAACCATCGCCACCATCTCTTGGGACTCTTAACGCTTGCTAGCAGCTTTCTAGAAGAAAACACCCATCTCGAATGTCCGGTTAGAAGACATGCGCTCTGGGAAAAGGAGGTCTTGGGTCAGGATATTCCTCAGGTTTCTACCGAAACAGGTGATGCCATTTAAATATCGGCCTGTTGTCACTCTCGCCCCGTAGTCTCGAAACCACTCCTCCACTGGTGTGTTTCCATGGCCAAAACTTGCTCTTTGGTATGTCAGTCAGCACTGGGGCCCTTCATAGCTTCAAATCCCTTCACACACACCCTGCCGCCCCCCCCCCCCCCCCCCCCCCGACTTCACACACACTTTGCCCCCCCCCCCGTCAAGAAGAAGATTCTTAAGGCCGTTCCTGGGACTGTACCAGTCACCAGCAAGCCCACCACCTCTGTTGATCCCAGAATGCACCTTTGCAGGACTCCTACCACGCGAATCATCCCCTCTACAAATGGATCCTCCCGCTCTCTACCAACTGCTCCCCTCCTTTCTGTTCATGAACCCACCCACTCCGCTGCCACCTGGTCTTGGGAACATTCCCAAAATGCAAATGTCCTAATGACAAGAGCCCAAACCCAACCGAACTGAAAAGAGATATTTAATATCAACACAGTCTCTGGAAAGTTCAGGTCTCAGCTGAACCTTTGGGAACGAGCTACGCTCACCCCACCTTTTCTGTACAGAGCATATATGCCCTAGGACATACTGCAACAATTATTTATATTTATATATTTATAAGTTTATATATACAGTATTATCTATCTATATATCTATATATATATATGCACATGCCAGTGTACAAACACTGCTTACAAAGCCCCGGCAGTTGGCTGTATGGGCTGGGCTGGGCTGGGCTGTTTTCGGTGGTGTTCCCCAAGAGAAGGGCAGACAGGAAAACACCTTCCCAATCTTTGGAGGTGACAAGAGAGGCAGGAGTGCAACTCAGCACGCGACGCCACAGACATCGCGAAACGGCTGCTGTCGCCAGAAGAAGTGCGGCCAGAACGGAGCCCGGCTGATCCAGCCACATTCCAAAGGTCCCCCAGCGACCCCGGCCTTCTGATGCCATTTTGGCACTTTTCTTTTTCTTTCTTTTTTTTGGGAAAGTCACCGTGTTCAGGAAATGGGCAGATACCACAGCTGGAAGCAGGTTGGAAGCAGTAGGCAGGGGCGGGTTTCTGATGTCCCAAAGCCCAGCGCCGTTCAAGAGACAGCAGCCAGAGCCTTGGCCCCTCCCCTTCCTTCAACAGGTGATGAGGTGGAGTCATCCGAGCAGGAGGGATTGGGGGGGGAGGTGTCGGTCAACAGAAGATCTCCTCACCTTCTGGTGCTCCGTCTGGTGAGTGAGCATCTAAGAGGAGAAGAGAGAAAAGCATCAACAACAAGAACATGTAAAAAAAAGGTCCTCGTTACTTTTTTTGGGGAAGCCCACAAAGCCAATCCTGTTACTATACTACAATCAAACAGACATTAGAGGCTCTCGGCCAATTGCATATACGCTACAAGGCCGCCAATCCAACGGCCTAATTTTCCCAGGGGAGAAACGTTGAGACTGGCACCCTTTCTCTCATTTTTTCCTCTATGGCCCCTACATACCCGTCCCTGCCCAGCCATGCAGGTTAGTGGTAAGGCTGGCAATGGAGGCCCATTTATTGCCATCCTGATTGGTTCTAATTTCATTTTTATTATTTGTGATTTTAATTACACATCAACTGTATTTTTAACTGTTTACAGTGTTGTAAATCACCCAGAGCCTGCTCTGTAGGGTGGGCGTTTCATAAGTTTAATAAAATAAATCAATAAATATGCCTGGGTCTGAATGCTGGCAGTCTGGAGGAACAAAGTCTTTTACACCCTTGGCGCTAAGAAACTTTTATAAAGGAAAAAAGGAAAGCCTGAGGAAAAACGTTCCTGGGGAGAGCTGGAGGAGTACAGGGGCTAAGAGACTGAAGTACAAACAGAGACAGAGAGATCTGCAGTTGGGTCTCTGCTCAGGGTCTTTTAAAAATGAATTACATCCACATGAGGCTTTGGATTGGGGCCACGGAACAGGGAAAGGAAAGGGGGGGGTTAATTCATCTCAACCCCGCATGGCTTCAGTAACTGGAACTGGACTCCTTACACTGTCATAGCCCTTCAAAGGAAGAAAAGACAGGCAAAGATGGGAACCTGTCTTTTTAAATATTCAATTACGGCACTACATAAATACTAAGCGTTTCATGCTGGTGACGGTCCAAAGAGAGCACTGTGATTACCAGCGGACTGCTGGGAGCGGTGTCCTTTGCCCTTCTTCTTCTTCTCCTTCTTGTCCTTGCCCTTGGCCAAGCCAAAGAGACGGTTGGGCATCTGGCCGTGCCCCTCGGCGGGCTTGCTGGTTTGGTGGGAGGCTGTCGTGCCCAGCAAGTGGAAAGTGCTCTTCTCTTTCTGCGTCCTTGAGATGCTGCTCCTCTTGGGTGCGATGGAGATCTCCGTGTCCAGGTGGCTCTGCCTGGGGAGGGAAGCGCTCTTCTGCTTGGAGGGCGGGTCCTCGGACGGAGGCAGGGAAGGAGTCCTCACCACCTTGGCATGCTGGCTGGAAAGCTGCAGAGGAGGAGATGCGGACAGGAATGAGCGCCACCAAGCGGCAGCCTGGGTGTCTCAGAAACAAAAGACCATTAAGGGCTTCCGTTGTGTAAGGTGAGCCCACCTGGATCGGACCTGGGCCAAGCTCAGCGGACAAAGCACCCGCTTTGCATACAGAAGGTTCCAGGTTCGAGCCCCAGCATCCCAGTAAGAAAAGGCAGTCGGCGAGGGGAAGGACCTCCACACCGAGCCCCGCAGAGCTGCTGCTGGCCAGCGCAGGCGACACCCAGCTTGACAGGCCCAGGACCCAAGCAGGGTAGAAGGGACTGTTCGAGGGGCACTTACCAGACCGAGGCCGGGCTCCGCCTGGGTCACCCGTTCCGTCTCTCTCCTGAGCTGCTCCTTCTCCTTCTCCAGCTGCTTCTGTGCCGCCCGGAGGTGCTCCAGGTCCAGCTGGTAGGAGGCCTTCCTCCGCTGCAGCTCCTCGCGCTCCTTCTCCAGGCTCTGGTGGGCTCTCTGGAGCTGCTCCTCCTGCTGGGCCAGCCGGGCCTCCCTGTCCGCCAGCTCCTTCTCCCGGGCCTCCCACCTCCTCTCCTGCCTCCGCTTCTCCTCCTGGTGCTGGGCCTGCTGCTTCTGCAGGTTGGCCAGCTCCTGGCGCTGCTTCTCCAGGCTCCGCTGCTTCTCCTGCTCAACGAGGGAGTTGGGCCGGAAGGAGGCGCGGCTCAGGGCCCGCTCGGTTAGGAGCAGCTTCTGGTCCTCGATGTAGGTGTCCTGCTGCACGACGACCGCCTGGGAAGGAGGGAATGAGGGTTTCTCCCTGGCCTCTCGCTGTGAAGGCCCAACACAGCACTCCCGAGAGACACCAACACCAACAAGGCCCTGTGCGAGTCTCCTCCCACAAAAGCTCTCCTCCACAGCTCCGAAGCTGGGGCTCCCCAACCGTTTTAAGCCTACAGGCATACCTTCGGTATTCTGACACAGGGTGGTGGCTGCAGCTACAAACTGGCTGCCACAGGAGTCGCAGACAAGAAGAGAAGAAGAGATTGGATTCATACCCCGCCCTTCACTACCTAAAGGTGTCTCAGAGCGGCTTACAAACTCCTTCTCCTTCCCCTCCCCACAACAGACACCCTGTGAGGTGGGCGGGGCTGAGAGAACTCTGACACAAACTGCTCTTTTTCAAGGACAGCTGTGCCAGAGCTTGTGACTGACCCAAGGTCACATCAGCAGGTGCAAGTGGAGGAGTGGGGAATCAAACCCGGTTCTCCCAGATTAGAGTCCGCGCACTTAACCACTACACCACACTGGCTCTCGCTCTACACCAAACTGGCTCTCTCCACAAAACCACAAAATGTCCACAAAATGTCACGGAATGAGGTGACGTATAACTCTTAATAGTAACTCTTCAACATTCCGGGCAGAAGCTCTGTTTAATGAGATGCCTTTAAACACACGCAGACAATCAGAAGACCTGCTGGGCCAAAGAGCCAGCCAGCCCCGCACACTTTCTAAAAGCACTTCCGGGGAAACGGGAAAAGTGCTGATGCAACCATGGTGCCCGGGGGCACCCTGTTGGGGACTGCTGTCCTACGCTTTACTGGCCTCATTGTTGCTGGAAGTTTCCTAGGGGCTGCTGGGTGGTAGCCCCCTTCTTCCAGCAACGGGATTGCCAACCTCCAGGGGGTGGCTGGAGAATGACAACTGGTCTCCAGGTTACAGAAAACGGCTGCTTTGGAGGGTGGGTTTTAGGGCGTTATACCTTGCTGAGGCCCCTCCCCTCCCCAAACCCCGCCCTCCCAAGGCTCCACGCATCCCAAATCTCCAGGGATTCCCCAACCCAGAACTGCCAACACCGTCCAGCAAGGACCTCCAGCAGGCAGGGGCTTGGGTAGCACAGGGCTATGCAACCCATAGGAGCTGCGGTGGCTCAAGTGGCTAAGACGCTGAACTGCAGGCTGTGGAAGGTCGGTAGTTCAGCAGTTCGAGACCCGAGTGTGCCGCATGACGCCAGACAGCAGCCGACTGAATCTGTTTGGCTTGACACAGTTTCCATTGACACAGCAACTCCCTAAAGTCACTGTGTAGTTGAGTCAGGCTGGAACCAAGCTTCAATATACAGAACAGTTGCTGCAAAGTGCACACAATTATAAGAATAATAAACAATGATTAAGCTATAATACTGATGAGCTTCAACAAAGATTAAACGTCATGAAGCTCATCAGTATTATAGCTTAATCATTGTTTATTATTCTTATAATTGTGTGCACTTTGCAGCAACTGTTCTGTATATTGTCATTTCGTTGCTGCTCCCTGTGTTCTTATACAATTGGAACCAAGCTTCAGACAGTGTCATATTTTTGCCCGCCATAGTCTCCTTATCCATTTTTGCAGCATATGAGTGCTGACATTGATGAACGAATGTCCTGAATGCAGTCCCTTTTAAAAAATAATTCTTTACTGTTGTTTTTGGATTACACCTCCGGTATGTCAGTACTTATTTTTCTGCTAAAAAGGTAAAGGTAAAGGTGTCCCTTGCTCGAAAGCCAGTCGAGTCCGACTCTAGGGTTGCGGTGCTCATCTCCGTTTCCAAGCCGAAGAGCCAGCGCTGTCTGAAGACGTTTCCATGGTCATGTGGCCGGCGTGACTAAACACCAAGGCGCACGGAACGCAGTTACCTTCCCACCGAAGTGGTACCTATTTATCTACTTGCAATTTCTTGCTTTCGAACTGCTAGGTTGGCAGGAGCTGGAACTAGAGACGGGAGCTCACTCCGTCATGCGGCACCCAGGTCTCGAACTACTGAACTACTGTTCTGCTAAATCCCTATTAAAACACGTTTCACTCCGGCAAACAGATTTCTTTCCCCACCCCTTCTGCATTGAGTCTCCCAGACTGTAAATGTCAGGGCCTACAACTTTCAGCTGACTTCTACTTATTTGAGCTTTCTGTATGTGAGATGGGCTTTCAAACAGCTTACATCTGTATTAGTGAGTTTTATTTCCAGCTATTCCAAGGTCCCGGCAAGGCATGACTTTCAAAAGGGTGCGTACATTTTTTTCAATTGAAAAACATTTTTTGAGCCCTTTCAGGTGCCGTAAATCATCTCGTCTTTTGTTGAATGTCCCCTTGCATCTGAAATGCTACAAGTCGGTGGTGGTGGGGTTTTCCACTCACACAAAGCCAGTGGCTGCAGAACAGCCCTTTCCCTGACTGCCACCAGTACTCCCCTCCGGCAACTTACCTGCAATGTGCCAAGTAAACTATGCAGGTGGGTGATACTCTGGAGGACCTGCTGCAGAGGAACAAACAGAAGCAAAGAAGCTGCTGTTAGCTTTTTATGCTTTTCATGAATGCTTTTCTTAAACGGTTTTTATGAATCCTCTTTTAATGCTTTTAATGAATGCTTATCTAATGCTTTTTATTAATGTATTTTCTGTCCTGGCCTCATATAGAATTCAGAGGGGGCAATTCTGGCCCAGGGCACAGCGGAAGGTAGACTGGGGCAAGCTGGCAGACCACTTGCTAATTTCCGATGGACCTCAGCAGCAGCAGATCTAGGGGAAGGGATTTCCCATGATGTGTCCACTAGCTGACTACCTTGAGGACCACACCTTTCCCCTTTACAAAAGCATTGGTTGCTTTAACCTTCTCGTATGCTGCTTTGCCATGTTGAAAAGTGATTTAACCATGTGGGGAAATAATAAACAAGGTTCCAAAGCAGCAATGCCCCAGCAGCTTTAGGGTGCAGATCCACATAGCTGGGCCTATAACACAGTGCATATGCCAAAACAGAGGATGTATTGAACAGAAAGCTTTTGATAAATTGAGCACACACGGCAGAAAAACAAAAACAAAACCCAAGCCAGCTAATTAAATCTCACGTTTTAATATAAAGTGAACATTTCACTGGGAATCTACTAGGGGGGTGCAAAAAAAGAATCAGTATTTTCCAGGTTCATGTGTACTGAACCTGGAAAATGTAGGTATTTCCTGATATTCCCAAATCCCAATATCGGTATGATTGGGATTGCTGAATTTATTCTGCTCCATTATACCCTATGGGGACCTCCCCTATAGGGTATAATGGAGAAGGGATTTAAACTTTAAATGCTTGCTGAATTCACTTGTCGAGTTGTGCCATGGTGGCAGCATGACTCAGCAAGTGAACTCGGAAGACATTTAAAGAGACTGTGGTCTCTTTAAAAGCCTTCTAGCTGCGCCCAAATAAAAGCCAATTAATATCAGCTATTATTCGGGTGCAGCTACTTCGGTAGCCAAGTACAGATCTCTGATCTGTATTCAGCTGAATAAATTCCTGAAAAATACTTTCTTTTGGTATTTATTTGGCTCAGTATATACCAAGCACACACCCCTTAGAATCAACAACACCTGGAAGATCAAGGCACTGACCCATAACTGAAAATCTGGAAACCCTCACAAACAAATGACAAATTCTTACCTCATTGTTCCTTTTTAGTACAAGCATCAAATTAGCTGTGCCTCCCTAGAAAGAAGTAGACAGTCATAATTAGGACCAAAGGAAGGATCACCAGAGCAAAGCAATCAACAGAGGACAACTCATCTTTGGGTACAAACCCTACATCAAATCCCACCCCCATTTTGCAGGGTTTTGGGCAAACTGATAACCTGTTCAGAATGGATTCAAGGTCTCACTTGGTCCCAGCATTAAGAATGCAGAATTAGACCCATTTTTTGTATCCATTTCAAGACAGATGGCCTATAAGTAGAGCCACTGTACACTCTATTACATGGTAAAAACACTCATTTCTAAAGAAAGGCATTATATAGCTAGAGAATGTGCATTTCTCCAGCAGGGCATCCAGACCCAGGCATCCCTGTGCCGTTCAGGCTCCCCAAAGAGCTGTAAATCCACAAGGTCAACAGCTAACTGGCTGCTGCTACCCCTTCTTCAACAGCTACACAGGAAGCTGCTTTCAGACCATCAGTCTGTTCAGCAAAGCACGACACGTTCCGTCTTGCTGCTGCCCTTCAATATGTCCAGCAGAAAGAGGTCTTTCGGAGATCCTTTGGGTGGCTGGAGATTCCACCGACTGAACCTGGGACCATCCGCGTGCAAAGAAGACGCAGCCCCACCAAACTCATGTGAGCCCTCCCCCAAAACCGTACCTTCTTCAAAACACTGTCTGACTCCGTCCTCCGAAGATC